CCCCCCGGGGGGGGGGGGGGGTGCCGTTTACACACGTGGCCTGCACACTGAGCACAGCAGAATCCATTTCACTGATTTTCTCTGATAGACACTTCCGGAGAGAGTTCCCAAGAATACCCTTCCATTCCCCCAGCCAAAACCAAAGGCAAATAGGTTGAGGGGCTGGGAAATGACAGCACCTCAGCTGCTACCATAAGTATACTTCAGCTCCCCCATCCCAGCTGTATTCTCCTCACAGCCCTCTGCTTACTAGATCTCCTCCACAGCATATTCCCACTAACACTGTGGAGTAACTGCTGATCTCTCCATGGCCCTAGGCAATCTGATCAAGGGGGCCTGTCACCAGCCTGAGCCTATCAAGGGGGCCTGTCACCAGCCTCAGCCTATGCACTTAGGCTTTATCTTCTTCTTTATTAAGCACCTTACTGGAGTACCCAGCACCACTGTATAGAGGTGCCAGCCTACCTCCAGGCTTTAGCTCACTTGGACACTACTTGAGTCCCAAGAACTGAACTAAGCTGCCTTCAAAACTCCCCTACTGTCACCTCAATCAGTCCCTAGGGAGAGCCCCTGAGCAACACGGGGCTTACCCAGGCACAGTACACCACTACTCTTGTTCTTCCTCACAGGGGACAAAAGTTACCCGAGGTCTGAAACCAGGTCCCTCAGAGTACGTGCATGTTATGCCATGATCCAGCCTGAGCTTATGAAATGTATTCCATAGCCAAAAATGGTGTTGCGCTCCTATAACCATGTCCGAATGAATGGCATCATCCTGCCTCATGCCTAGACCCTAACATACTTCTTCCCATCACCCACTTGCCACTGAGATGGAGGGGTCACCTCAGCCACTTGTGTGATGACATCACAGTGTCACACAAAGGCACTTTGCTGGCCCCAATTCTGTGTTTGAGCAGCAACACATGGCACGATGTAAGCAAAGCAAAGGCGGAAACTGCAGGCTGAGGCAACCACCACGGACATTATCATTTAAGCACCAAACTGAGATTTGGGAAGGTCATTATCAAAAGGCTAGATATGAAGAGCTTTTTTTCCATGTTCTTCATTTGAATGTCATGAAACCAGGTGGCTTTCATCTCTTTATGCATGCATAATTTAAGCCTTCCCCTGCAGTGTTGGAAAGACAAACACCAAGCTCTGGGCCAGGGACAGCACAATAGAAAGCAAACTGACTGGAAACAAATATGAGACTAAGCAGCCTAGCTTCTGGCTTTGTCTGCAGGATGGAACTTTTACTACCCTAGAACTACATCATTGCATATCCCTAGCACAGACATGACCCACATATTTCAATAGGAAGAAGGGAGGACAATGTACCTCAGTTTGCTTTTTCTTTTGACATAGTCTATGGCTTCCCCCTTTCATAGGCCACCCTGGGATCTTAGCTAAAGTGGTATAAGATTGGAATATCTCCAGGTGCTTATATGGAGCCATCCTGGATTTACAACCATGTAACTGAGAACAGGATCTCATCTGATGTGCATATGAGGAAGAGAAGACAGTCTTTCCTTCTCCGAGACAAACACAAGTCAATGCATACTGATTCCCTCAGCATTTTTCAGGGCCTGTTTCCTCGCATTCATTTTTCCCTTTGTGGCACTTCTTGACCTCACTGGTTTTCCATTTCTGATCTGCCGCTTTGCAGTGAGCAGTACTGCCAATACCCCATTGCAATAAAAACAGAGATGCTGCCATTCCAAAGGAGACCAAAGGTCCATCTTGTCCAGGCTCTGGTCTCTACTGCCAAGAGCTTCAGAAGAAGAAGCAAACCCAAATGCACTGCAATATGCACCGTGATTTCCTGGGGGAAATTCCTTCCTGACCCCCTGGATGGTAACTGGCTTATGCCCTGGAGCATGAAATTTGGTTCCTGTCATTTTTACCCTGACCATGTGTAACTGTGGAGACTGTTTCAATTCACAGAAGAATCTAATCCCTTTTCAATAACAGGCATTGTCTTTGGGCTGCTGTCTGCAGCCCGGAGATGGATTTAAAGAACACTTGTCAGCTAATTTTTTAAGTGTGAGCAATTGTTGTTTGCCTATTGTTTCTCAGATCCTTTCAGAAAAAAAAGCCAAACATTTTTTCCTAACTGGTTTCTTTTTGTCATTTTCATAATCTTCCTGGGCTTCCAGAGCTAAGCAGCCTTTTCTTGACACCATTCCTTTATAAGTATATGTCCCTGCATCATGGACATGCCATTTTTCATTGGTGGCTGTTGAAGAATCAGCAGGGGGAGCTCACAACCCTGTCTGCTGTAGACCCCAGCAAAATACTACCTGGAGATATTTTAGCCCCCCTAATTCTCATGGAAGCCCACAGCACGGTTTTAACTGCAATAAGAAAAGACCAGTATGTACAATCGAGTAGGTGTTTCTCTTTGGACACATCAGTGCAGCTTTATGGTCTATCTGAGATAGGGAATAAAAAAGCACGTGAGACTGCTCACAAGGAATCCACCATGGCCTAATTACCACCAAGCCACAGAGATGCGATAGGTTAGACCAGGGGTTTTCAACCTTTTTAAAGAAGCGTACCCCTTCTGGTGGTGGCAGTCAGATGCAGAGCAGGAGGGCTGGGTGGGGCTTGCATGTGGCTGCTGCCGCCACCCCCCACTGCACCACTGCGTCCCATTTTCCCATGGCCAGTCGCACATCCAGCTCTCCGGGCTGCTGACACCCTGCCAATCATGCACCACCCATCAGCAGCCCACAGAGCCGCATGTATGACCAGCCATGGGAAAGCAGCATATGGCGGCAGCATAGGGCGGTGGGCAGCAGCACAGGGTGGTGGATGGCACCAGCGGCCACCATATACAAGCTTCTCCCCCCCCATGTCCATCCGGCCAGGTGGCACCTGTGCGGACTGCAGAGGGGTGCCACTGCCCTTACCCCACCCAGCCCTGCTCCTGGGAGGTAGCAGCACAGGGTGGTGGCTGGAGGTGCTCTGTCCCTGCTCGCCTGCATGTACCCCCTAGGACCTTTCCAAGTACCCCTAGGGGTATGTGTACCCCAAGTTGACATCCCCTAGGTTAGACTATTTCTTTGATGAACTCTTCATGGCAGAAATGGTCTCTCACCATGGACATGTCCACCCTCCCACCCAACCAAGGGTCTCCATTCTTGGCAGAGGCTGGCAAGTATTACAGCCACACAAGCAGCAGTAGCACCACTACTGTCACAGATCCAGCCAGCATTTCTTTGCTTACAGTTTCTACCACCAGGTCACCATCTACCTTATACAGCTATGGCAAAGGCAGAAAAGCCTCTTTTTGAGGAAACCTGTGGTGTTAACCAGGGGGAGCAGGACACGAGTGAGTCTTGGACCTCTGTCTTTGGAGAGACAAGGAACAAATGGGAAAGACATTAATTCCAGAATGGGATCTGGACCAAGCCCCCAAATTCTCACTCTGAACTATGCAGGGGCCTGAAACACAGACTTTAAGCGGTCTCCTGTCTTCTTCTGTCTTCAAGTGGCCCCTATCTTCCCTATGGCTTAAAGCAAAACCTCACAGACAGCCCTGTGGCCAATGTCAGAGGCTTTAGGAGAAAGCACTTTGCATCTCCCTCTGAGAGGAACAGCTCTCAGCAATCTCAGTTCCATCCCACCTCCCTTCCCAAAACACAGGCCTGGCGAGGCTGATTCAGATCTGGCTGACACCAGCTTTACACACCTGACCACTCCCTGCTCTGGGGGAGCTACTCTCAAGTTACAATAGTGCAAAAGAAGAATCAGGCTCTAGAGCCTAACCCAGCTTCACAGCATCTCCAGCAGTCCATATTGTGTCCTAGCATCAATCTCTCTCTGTATTGCTGAGAGCAAAGACTCAGCCCTGAGGCACCTGCCATGACTTAGGCTCCAGGTCCAAAAAGGGCCTGGCTGCAATTCCCTTCCTCTTCCCCAGAATCCAGCCTGGACAGAGGGCTCAGGCATGGGCCACCTGAGTGACAAGCGGGGCTACACTGGGCCAGGTCCTCAGCTTGCATTCAGTAGGGCAACTGCCCTCACCACAGCAGTTACACCAGTTGACTCCCCCGGGGTATGTGGCCTGTTAAGCCTAGACGGTGCCTCACAGCCCCATGGCCAAGGCCTCCACCCTGCCAATTCCTGCCCCACACAGCTCTTACCAGCACCGAGAGCTGAGGCAGCCCATTCTCCCTTACCTTGCTCCTCATCTGCCCCGACGTGGAGACCTTCCTGATGAGCTTGTGGGAGCTGCCCTCCTGCTCCCCGTCGCTGTCAGAGGACTCTTCACCAGCCCCCTCCGGAGACACCGGGGCCAGCTTATCCGAGTCCAGGGAGGACACCGACTCCCTGGTTTTCCTGAGAAAGAAATCCCCGGGGGCCAGCTTTTCCGCCATCTCCCGAGCTCCTCACCTAGACGTGCCAGCGACGCGGAGACCGCGGGCGGGCGGGCGAGCAGGGGCCGCAGAGCGCGGGGCTGAGGATGCCGGGGCCGGGCTGGGGCACCCGGGCTCTGCGCCGCGGGCACCGTCCCGCCGCACAAACTGGCTCTGGAAAGGCCAAGCGGCGCCTTCGCCTCACACTTCGCCTCCCGCAGCCCTGCACCCCGCCGCCGTGGGCGGCAGGGACAGCTGTGCCTCACGGTCCTCCGGGCTGGGCCCTCAGGCAGC